ATTTTGAATTTCTTTTCAGATGAAGCTCCGCAAAAAATCTTTTCTCTGGGAGTTTTCAAAGAGCCAGATGAACGTCGTTTAGCCGTGTCAGCTTTCTGTTTTGCCTCATCTTCCTGGTCCTTTTTTGTAACCAGAGCCGTATAGTTTTCAGGATGGTTACATTTTACATGCTGCCAAAGGTTGAAACTTTTCACGGCACTTGTTTCTCATGTCTTGAAGCTACATGGTTTGAGCTCGCCATTCACTTCATTTTCCACCTTGCACATTGCCGATTTCTTCTTTGCTTTTCCCCAAAGCCCAAATTTATGCTTTTCAAATTCAAATGTAAAGACCTCATTGAGATCCTTTTCGGTAAATTGGCTATCAATCATGGGGGGTGGATTTGATTTTTTTGTTGAACCCATGGCCAAATCTTCTTGTGCTGCTACCGCATCCAAATGTTTCTTGTTATGACCTTCGAAAAGCAATGAACAAAATCATTACATTTTTTATAATGTACCTGCTTGTGTTATCTTAACTGCTTAAGGTACTTGGAATTTATTTTGGATTTTCTGGACAAAAATTATCACATTTTCTTTTTACACAAAATTATTATTAAAGTATATTTTAATATTTTAACATGTTTCTTCAGTTTTTACCAGTATTTAAAAAGGGCTCTAGAGGCGATCCTGGCAATTACAGACCGGTAAGTCTAACTTCAGTACCAGGCAAATTAGTAGAAACAATAGTAAAGAATAAAATTGTGAAGCATGTAGAACATAATTTGTTGGACAAAAGTCAACATGGCTTCTGTAAAGGGAAATCCTGTCTTACTAATCTGTTAGAGTTCTTTGAAGGGGTTAACAAACATATGGACAAGGGGGATCCAGTAGATATAGTATACCTGGATTTTCAGAAAGCCTTTGACAAGGTCTCTCACCAAAGGCTCTTGTGTAAATTACATGGCCATGGGATAAGAGGGAAGGTCCTTTCTTGGATTGAGAACTGGTTAAAAGACAGGAAACACAAGGGTAGGAATAAATGGTAAATTTTCAGATTGGAGAGGGGTAACTAGTGGTGGACCCCAAGGGTCAGTTCTGGGACCAATCCTTTTCAACTTATTCAGAAATGATCTGGAGAAAGGGGTAAGCAGTGAGGTAGTAAAGTTTGCAGATGATACAAAACTGATTAGGATAGTCAAGACAGAAGCAGACTGTGAGGGACTCCAAGAAGATCTCACCAAACTAAGTGATTGGGCAACAAAATGGCAAATGAAATTTAATGTGGATAAGTGTAAAGTAATGCACATTGGGGAAAAATAACCCCAACTATACGTACAGTATAATGGGGGCTAATTTGGCTACGACAAATCAGGAAAGAGATCTTGGAGTTATCGTGGACAGTTCTCTGAAAACTTCCATGCAGTGTGCAGTGGCGGTCAAAAAGGCAAATAGGATGCTACGAATAATTAGGAAAGGGATAGAAAATAGGACCCAGAATATCTTACTGCCCCTGTATAAAACTATGGTACGCCCACATCTTGAATACTGTGTACAGATGTGGTCTCCTCACCTCAAAAAAGATATTTTGGCCTTGGAAGGGTTCAGAAAAGGGCAACTAAAATGATTAGGGGTTTGGAATGGGTCCCATATGAGGAGAGGTTAAAGAGACTGGGACTTTTCAGTTTAGAAAAGAGGAGACTGAGGGGGGATATGATAGAGGTCTATAAAATCATGAGTGGTGTGTAGAGGGCCGATAAAGAAAAGTTATTTATTAGTTCCCATAATAGAAGAACTAGAGGACACCAAATGAAATTAATGGGGAGAAGGTTTAAAACTAATAAAAGAAAGTTGTTCTTCACACAGCGTGTAGTCAACCTGTGGAACTCCTTGCCAGAGGAGGCTGTGAAGTCTTGGACTATAATAGAGTTTAAAGAGAAGCTAGATAAATTCATGGAGGTTAGGTCCATAAAAGGCTATTAGCCAGGGGATAAAATGGTGTCCTTGGCCTCTGTTTGTCAGAGGCTGGAGAGGGATGGCAGGAGACAAATCGCTTGATCATTGTCTTCGGTCCACCCTCTCTGGGGCACCTGGTGGTGGCCACTGTCGGTAGACAGGATACTGGGCTAGATGGACCTTTGGTCTGACCCAGTATGGCCATTCTTATGTTCTTATGAAAGAAGTATTTTAATATACATAATTAATATAAATTTTTATTTATAAATTGTAAGTTATTTTTTCTTATGAAATTTTGTGGTAAAAATATTTGAAATATTTTCCAAGTTTTTAATTAATATCTCAAACGCTTTAATATAGATATATCAATGAAATTTGGTATGTGCCGTAACCTTAGTACATGCTATCACTGTTGTACAACATTAATTGTTGGGGAGTAACGAGGCTACACGTTACAAGGTTGAAAATAAACACATGTTAATCTAACTATCTAACTAATCTACGCAAGTACGTACTCGCCTAATCTTGGCACAAGGGTGGGAGTAGTCTGCAGTGTTGCCAGATGTCTGATGATTATCTGATTCTTTAATAAGACAAATCTCCAAAAAACTTTGTAATTTTGTATCTGTACGTTAAATCTTGATTTCAGCCGAAGTGAGAATAACTATGACATATTACGTAAAGTGGTAAAGTAGATGTTAATATCAATTGTTATCCAATCTGAAACTTTTTGGCACCTTTAGGACTTTCTTGCTAAAATATAATTTATTTTGGATTGAAAATGAAAAAAAAACCCTGGAACTGTGTTGAAGTCAAGATTTTCTGTGCTCCGGCTCTTCTCCAGCTCTAGGCAAAAACCTGCAGCTCCACTGCTCTGTGCTCTAGCTCTGGGTTCTGCTCCAAAGCCGTGCCTGTATCAGGTGCTCCATTATCATAGAATACTAACCATCTTGTTAGTCTTTAAAGTGCTACACAGTCCTGTTATTTGTTATAGAATACTAGGACTGAAAGGGACCTCGAGAGGTTATTGAGTCCAGTCCCCTGTCCTCATGGCAGGACCAAATACTGTGTAGACCATCCCATATAGACATTCATCTAACCTATTCTTAAATATCTCCAGAGATGGGGATTCCACAACCTCCCTGGGCAATTTATTCCAGTGTTTGACCACCCTGACAGTTAGGACCTTTTTCCTAATGTCCAACCTAAACCTCCCTTGCTGCAGTTTAAGCCCATTGCTTCTTGCTCTATCCTCAGAGGCCAAGATGAACAAGTTTTCTCCCTCCTCCATATGACACCCTTTTCGATATCTGAAAACTATCATGTCCCCCCTCAATCTTCTCTTTTATAAACTAAACAAACCCAATTCCTTCAGCCTTCCCTCATAGCTCATGTTCTCTAGACCTTTAATCATTCTCGTTGCTCTTCTCTGGGCCCTCTCCAATTTTTCCACATCTTTCTTGAAATGCTGTGCCCAGAACTGGACACAATACTCCAACTGAGGCCTAACCAGCGCAGAGCATGGGATTGGTGTCAGGCTGACAAGCCTATCCTTATCCAGGTTATCTTGCTTACTCTCTTTAAAAATTGGCACTGCTTTCTTTCCTCCTTTACTTCCTTCCATCCATCTATCCATAATCTGCAACTTTTCCTGCATTCCAGGACATACTGATAATCAACATTAATGGTCCAGTGAGCTCTTCAGCCCTTTTAAAAAAACAAAACAAAACCAACTCCAAAACTCTTGGATGCAGATTATCTGGACTTGCTGATTTAAAAATGTCTGACTTGAGTAACTTTTGTTTTAATATCTTTCAGAGGTACTAAGGGAATGAAAAGTATGTTACCATAAGATGACACATCATTTATTTTTCCTAAAATACAGAACTGAAGTATTAATAATGAAGTTGTTGATAATTCCATTTCCATCTAGTAATGGATCTATCTTTCGTACTATTCTTTTGTTCTTATATATATTTTTAAAAACCCTCTCTGTGTGCAGCCAACACATTAAAGATTTCTCTTTGTCTTTGGACTTCCCTTCTGAATTTTTTGTAGCCCTTAATTTTGATTTGTAAACATTGCTATCAACTTCCCCTTTCTTCCATTTGTTTTATATTGCTTTTATGGCTACCTTTACTTCCCCTCTAAACCAGATCAGCTTTATTTTTTTTACCAGCACAACTTATTTTCTGAAATGTGGGATTGACTGATATGACATCATTTAATATCATTCACATTTTTGATATAACTCTTGCCTCATAATTGGTTTGACTCGTAATTGTTTTCAGCTTTGTACAGATACCCCTATTAAAGCAA